GAAGGGCTGGGCTTAACCTCTTCTGAGACTTAGTTTCCTCATCTGCAAAATAAAAAATAACACTAGAACTACCAACTTCACGAGGTCATTGTGAGGAAACCTTAAAGTGTTATGGAAATATGAGTTAATATTATTGAGCAAAGATTTCTGCTCCATGCTGCAACTTTGTATAGCTTGCTTCTTAACAGGACTCTTTCCATTTTGTTTATATATCCCCAAAGTCTTGTGAACTTAGGCTCTTTCTCACCCTCCCAATCACCTTCTTTTAATTGGTCCCCTCGGCTTTCTTGGCCCGAGCATTGACTGCCCTGTAAAATTAATTTAAATTTCTTCTTTGCTCTAAGTTGCATAACTTCCAAAATTACGATTATACATCAAAATACCTCCCCCATACCCTGCCCAATATGGAGAGGTAACCAACTGTTCCTTGTTTTCCACATTTGTTCCTTAATTGGGTCCAAATGTTCCTCCCTTTTTTTTTCATCCTTCTTTAAAACCAGTAAGGTTGTCTGTCATGAAACCTAATGCTGGCTACGGACAGTCTTCTCCTTCACCCTTTTCACTCCCTGCTTCTGCTGCTGACTAACTTTTAAATTGTGAACAACCATAAAACAGTGACAGTTGTGCCCCACACTCTATCACTCTCCTCACACAGGGGAAGATCTGCTGGCCACATTGCAGCCGCTACTGACTGTACATCACAGCTGGCTGCCTGATCCTCTTCTACCCTTTGAGAGGGAAAGAGAAGTTACTGAGCTGACTTATGCATGCCTGATGTGATCAGCACGGGAAACAAAGAAACCATCTTTATAGCAACTGTAAGTCACCACGAAACGTACAGTATCATCTTAATAGTTTTGATAAATATGATGCCTGCTGAAATTAGAGACCATAAATTTGGGAGCAGTGCGAAGATGACTTGGGTTTAATAGAACAAACTGCTTAATGAAATTTATCTTATTAAAGTTAATTAAAGGGAGTGAAAATGGTCATTTGTTAAAAGGACCTAGACCTTCAAGGACTATTATGTGAATATACAATATACACATATGTGCAGATGAAGCTTATAAATGTGTGTGTATATTTATGTATAAAATTATATATGTGTATATATGCATACATATACACACACATGTATGTGTGGGTGTGTCACACACACACTTATACATATATACCTATAAATGTGAGAGCCAGCATGACGTTGTGGAGAGGATGCTGGACTTGGAGCGAGGAAGACTTGGATTAAATCCCATTTCTGATATTTTCTATCTGTGTGACCCTGGCAAATCACTGTTGAGCCTCAGACAATGCAGGTTGCAAATCTGAGATATTGGGGCAGTTCCCACATCAATGAAACCTCAAGACCTTGATGTGTTCCCCAATTCTTATTAAGGATCTTTCTTGAATAATTTGACGGAAAACTTGCAATATCTTAGGATATAAAAGAGACAATGGAAACATTTGGGAAGCATTCAAGGGATTCTATAAAGAGGTTGTGTGGTGTAATGGTAACTGACATTTTATAATGCTTATATTGTTGAATTTAAGCCTCGTAACAACTGTGTGAGGCACCGTACTACAGGACAACCCCATTTTACAGGTGAAGAAACTGAACTTCAGCATAGTTGTGTGAGCCCATGTTCACACTTAGAAACTGAGGCTTGGTGAAGGTGAGTCACTTATCTTTATAAGTATTAGATGCAGATCATCTTGATTCCAAGACCTCCATCTTGTTGCTGCCATGGTATTCTTTCCTCAGCTAGCATCTTCTAGCTCTACATTCTTTCTCAGGCATGCAAGATACTGACAACTTTCCATGAAGTCAGGGATCATGTTTTAATGATCTTTTTACCTCTCTCAATTCTTACCACAATGCTTTGCACCAGTAGGCACCTAATAGATCGGGGCCGGCACAACCTGCGCGCCCATGGGTATTTATAGCCCGCCTGCCGCCAAAGGACTTCAGGTGGGCCATGAAAAATGTAGAAGAAAACATCCTCTCTATATTTTTTTGCAGCCCCGAAAATCCTTTGGCCTGCCTGCAGGCCATAAGCATCCCCTACCCCCCCAGCTCCAGCGACCCATTCCTGAGTAAATAGAACTAATGAATGAGTGAATGTCCTAAATACTAACAAAGGATGCCTACAAATTCTCTTCATCCTTTAGAATACACAGCCCCCACAATGAGTAGACCAGGGATTTTCACTTAGTACATTTGATACCTTATCTATGCACTCACAAAGAGATTCAAGCAGCCAGAGGGTCCAAGTGTCAGCTTGCAGAATGCCATGCCCTCTGCTTCTTGGAGCCTCTCCCCACTAGACTTCAATTCTGGTCTTGCTTATGTGGAGGTCAGCAGCATGATTCTACTTTCAGATGGGGTGTCTGAATCTTCCCTCCAAATCTCACCCTATTCTAATGTCAAAATTAGGGTTGGGTGTGTCTTCTCCAAAGAAATACTCTTTATTGATCCAGTCATTAACAGGATATCCTAATTGACCCTCAATCTATTCTCTTTAAATGCTTAGCTGGTATTATTCCATTCATCCATCAAAGGCTGCCAGTAGCCTGGAAGACATAGTGACCCCACTACCTCTATCTTTAATAGTCTCTGCTAAAGAAATGCTCAAAATTCACCTAGAGGTGGGGAATGGTACACTCAGAACTCTCTCCAAGCCTAAGCAGTTCTCCATTATTATTTGGCAAACTTGATTTCAGCAAATTAAGAGGAATATCTAGAGAACGAATTGCACAGACTAGCATGAATGGTAACAGTTGTTTGAGAAGGTTAACAAACCAGAAAAAAAAACCAACCCAACATTCTTCCTATTTTTCTATATATGTGTCCTACATGTAAAATTTAATTTGATATTTTTTCTGCTGCCTTTTGGTCTTCAGGGCTTGTAAAATATGTTCATACAATCTTTTTTTGTAAATGATTCTTCTTCCTAAAAAGACCTTAATGCTCCTCATGAGCCGGCTTAGAAAAATTTTACCACTAACTCTAAGCCAAAGAGTGAGTATGCATGATCTGGTGTTACACTGAAGGGCCATAGCATTTAGAGCTGGATGAAACTGCAGAGAGCAGAGGATCATAGATTTCAAACTGGAAGTGACCTCAGAGGGTATCTATTCCACTCCCCTCATTTGGTAGATAGATAGGAAACCCAAGGCTGAGAGAAAGTGACTTGTCCATGGTCACATAGATAATAAATGACAAGGCAGAAATTGAAACCCCCCATCCATCTGACTCAAAAGCCAATGCCCTTTCCACTACACAATACTGCCTCTGTGCTGTGTCAAAGTGTTCTGTCTCTGACTCTGCCCTGTTTAACATTTTTAAATGTCACAAAGCTAGGAGGGAGAGCTAATAAGTTACATGACAAAATTAGTATTGAGGATACTCATAATAGGCTGAAACAAGGGGCTGACAAGATGAACCATACTAGAAAGGAGTCTAAAGTCCTTAATTTTTGTAACAAAAAATTAATTGCACAGGTATAAGAGGATCTAGCTTGATACCTAAACAAACTGACAAATTCATAGGGTTCTTTCTTTCCTCCAAGTCACAACTCAGAGGCCACCTCAATGACACCTTCTCATACTGCCCACATCCATAAAAGCATTCTCTCCCTCAAATTTCTCACTGCACTTTGCTAAACCTCTCATCATCACTTGTCACTTTCCTTTTGTTCATATGCATCTTATCAACAAATTAGAGTATAAATTCCTTGAAAGCAGAGTCTGCATCATATCTTTGCATTCACAAATCCTACCACAGTAGTTGTACAAAATAAGGAATTAAAATTTTTGTCAATCAAATTAAATGCAATCTGAAATTATAAGTGAGGGGCAGAACAGGAGCAAAGATGACACAGTTTCAGGAATGAACATAGTAAATTAATGGGGCATTAAAGATATTGATTAGAATAGAAGGCATGTGCTCGAGACTGGTGGAAAATAGAATTGAAAAGGTAGAATGAGGCTGGATGTTGGAGGATGTTGAAAATCACTGAAGAGGAGGTTCTGTTTAATGCTATAGGAAACAAGGAAGCAATGATGGTTGTTAAGAAGGGGATTGACATGATTAATCATGGGGATTGTTGTCTTTTCAGGGTGGAATGGGGAGTTTGGTTTTCACACATGTAAATTTTGAGCTTATAGCACTTGCAAGTAAGTAAGTCCTCCTAGGCTGTTGGAGAAATGGAGAAGACATGCTTGGAGATATAGATTTAAAAGTTATGATCAGACAGGAGAGGTGGCTGAAGTCATGACATTAGAATATGTGGGACTGAGTATAAAGAGAGAAAAAACAAATAGCAAGTCAGGGTGTATGTGAGGGGGATGCTTTGATGATGACTCTATTTGCCCGACTGACAAAAATAACTAGGACATAAAAGTCTTCCCAGAAGATCTGTTGCTCAACTGACCTAATCAACAGAGAATAATTATGACAGAAGAAGGAATAAAATCCATTTGAAAAGTATAGGAGAGAACCACAATTAAAAACATATGATGAACCTCTCCTAAAATAATATACCCTCTGTAGAAAATACACTGAAGGTATTCGTATAAATGTGTCATTTCTTTTACAGTAAAAGTGAGAACATTTTGTTCCATCTGAAATCTAATTTTGCAGCCTAATAAAGCTCATTCCAGTGCAAAGGCCATTTGTTCACTAAGAAAGGTATTTCTTTGCAACATTAATCATCTTCAACTTATAGTTTCTCCAGAGGGATAACCCCCTACTTTGCTTTTCCATTAATATTATCTTTAACAGAAAACTAATGACTCTGTTATAGTTGTATCCTCACTAACATTGCATGATGGGACTCAGAAAGATGGTGGACTTTATGACTTCCCCACGGGCTTCATAAGGTTAAATGATTCACTAGGTTAAATGATTGCTTGAAGCACAGTGAAAACCATGTTAATGAAAATGACCAGGCTGGAATGTGCCTGAGTGCTGACCAAATTCAAGTGAAGAGAGAGAGCCTTACCCTGGAGCTGCTTCTTGAACAGGAAGATCCTGACATCCACTAGGAGAACAATGACAGAATGCATTCCAGGAAGAGATGTTGCACGTTATTATTGTAGGTGGTGCTGTTTTTTTAAGGATATCTTCCATTTCCCAACAGAACCCCCAGATCTATCAACAAAATGAAGAAAACAATGCTTTTGACACTCGAACAATCTGAAACTAGGGATCAGTCATTGCTGTCACAACAGTCATGTCTCCAGTAGATTGCAAACTCCTTAAGGTCAGTTGTTTGAATTTATAAACTCAGTGGCTATACTTTGCCCTTGGTGAGCACTTAAATTGAACTGAACTGAATTGAATTGAATGCAAAGGAGTTTGTTTAAAAGAAGAACCTCTGACCATTTTCTTTCAGTCTGGTCCTACTCTTTGTGACCCTATTTGAGGCTTTCTTGGCAAAGATACTAGAGTGGTTTGCCATTTCCTTCTCCAGCTCATTTTATAGATGAGGAACTGAGGCAAATTTAAGTGAGTTTCCCAGAGTCACACAGCTAATAAGAGTCTGAGGCTGGATTTGACCTCAGGACAATGAGCCTTCCTGATTTCAGGCCCTTTACTCTATCCACTGCACCACCCAGATGCCCTTAAACATTATGTTATCCAGACATATGCTGGATTGTACCACTTGTGAGATGTTGTGTGTTCAGTTGTGTCTGCTTCTTCATGACCCCACTGGGGGTTTTCTTGGCAAGGACACTGGAGTGGTTTGCCATTTCCTTCTCCAGCTCGTTTTACAGGTGAGGAAACTGAGGCAAACAGGATTAAGTGACTTGCCCAGGGTCACACACCTACTAAGTGTCTGAGGCCAGATTTGGAATGAGTGTTCCTGATTCCAAGCCCAGTGATTTATCTACTGAACCAACTAGCTGCCTCTTCTCATAAGAGAATAGAAAAGAGATGACAATGAATGACTGTCCCCATCCTAAAAAATGGTTCAGCAATATGGCTGTACCTAATTCTACAGAATGGATATATTTAAGAAAAGTTTCCTATAAAATCACCTTTTCTAATCCTATTTTTCTACTATGTCTTTGTACAGTGAGAAGTGTTTTTCTGCATGAAATTTTGGCACATTTAGGAAGCTACAAACATTGTAAACATTTCTATTTAAGGAAAAATGGATAATTTCTGATAAAATGCTATTAATGCCAATAATACTGAAGACAAAAATAAACTAGTAGGGGTGACTTTTATGTTTGGTTTAAAAACTTCAAGGTCTGAAGAAAAAATGATAGCTTCAGTGACTTGAATATACCTGGCTGAAGCTTCTATCAATCTCCAATCCCACCTATCCATAAAACATATTTGGGGACGGGCCTTTTCTCCACTGTGAGAAGTGAAACCACTTCTCCATTCATGTTCCATGGGATGGCCACTGTTACAACTCTTTAATTGCTCAGACTCAGTTTCCCAGTCCTTTGTATACGCATCTGCATTTTAGAAATGAACAAGTTGAGCTGTTCTAAAAGAAAAAGGAAAAGGTTAGAGGCAGATACAGCCAAAGAGATTTGAAAAATTCCCATTAAGTGAATCTTGAAGTATAGTTAATTTGTTGCTGTTTCATGATTTTTTTCAGTTGTGCTTGACTCTTGGTGACCCCATTTGGGGTTTTCTTGGCAAAGATATTGGAGTGGTTTGCCAGTTCCTTCTCCAGCACATTTTATAGATGAAGAAACTGAAGCAAACAGGGTTAAGTGGCTTGCCCAGGCTCATGCTGCTAGTAATTGTTTGAAGCCAGATTTGAACCCATGGAGAGAAGTCTTCCTGACTCTGGGGCCAGTGCTGTATCTACTGTACAACCTTGCTGCCTTATAGTTAATTTAATTCAGTTCAAAATCAGTTTACTATATAATAAGAACCTGTTATGTGCAAGACACTGTGTTGGGCACTTGGAGCAAAGACAAAAATGAAAGTTCCTGCCTTTAAGAAATTTGTATTCTTCTGAGAATATGGAACTAGGTCCCTGATTTTAAATGCACCAAGTTCCCATTTCTTGTTATCAAGTTTATAAATAACAGGGTTTGGGTTTGTTTACATGGTAAAGAGACAGTAACTCTAAGTTTGCATTATGTCTGATTTGCTATCACTTTCAATTTGATAATTTATTCATGCCACTGTTCTGGAAACAATTATCAGTACTCTTTGGCTCAACAGTAACTACTGTAAAATCAAACACCTTTAGAAAAACAATAAGTTATGCCAGAAAATGTACTGTTTGACTTCAGCTTAGCGTAAAATGGAAGATGGAGGCACTAGGTAAATTGTGTGAGCAAAGCTACTGAGTACTGATAGAATACTTTATTACATCTTCACTCTGAAGTCTATTCCTGACTATATTTTCCCTAGAGGAAGATATATTTCACCCTACCTGCAGTTCCAAATATCCATCAACCTCAAGTCTTGTGATTAAATTCCTTCCCATTGAGACTAAGGTTACCAAAAACCCAAATCTGAGGGCAGGGATATAAATCAGACAATTTGAATATCCCTCTGCCTTTGTTTCTCCTTGCCATCTTCCCTTGAATTACCTTGTATTTATTTGAAAACACAGGTTCAGTCGCTGTCCCTGGATTTAATATATCCTTACATGTGTTTATTTCCCTGCTACAAAAGTAGGCTTCTTGAGGACAGAGACTTTTCCATCTCGGTTTTTGTATCTCCAGCGTTTAGCACAGTGCCTGCCTCCTAAAAGGCACTTAATAAGTGCTTGTTGATAGATTCATCGTCCTTCTCTTTGAGGTGTTCAGCAGCTGATAGAGGATCACCTTTGCTTTAAGAGGACACGCCAAAATCAATCCAGTTGTATGACTTCCATTTGAAATAATATAATCTAAATAGAATGAGATGCAGCAGTTTGTAGTCAGGAAGACCTGGGTTCAAGTCTTGCTTCTAAAACATACTCATTTATACCAGAAGCAAGGCTCTCAAGACCCCAGAATCTCTGTAAGTTCATTAGTTATAGTCAAGCTGCTAATCTACATCAGTAGAGGAGTTTCTATGCTGGGCATTCCCCACATTGATGAAATCACAGATCATGGGTATGCACATACACACACACACACACACACACACACACACACACACACACACACACATACACATTTGCATTGTGCTCTCCAAGCTATTTTTCTCATTATTGCTTCTCTTTGGAAACATCAAAAAGAAGAGTCTTTCCTCTGTGGCTGGCACGGTACCCATAGAAAATTCAACTTAAGAATGGGTATTGCAATCCTTTAATGGATCCATGACCTCTTCATTAATTTATTTGTTCACAATTATTTGTATGTTTTCTCCCCCATTAGTCTGTGAGCTCCTTGAGGGCACAGACCATTTTCACCTTTCTTTGTATCCCCTGCACTTAGCACAGTATTTTGCACATGCTAGCTGCTTAATCAATTTTTATTGACTGACTGACTCCCTCCAGTTACAAATAGTAACTTATCTATGCCTGGCCACCTAGCATGACTCTTGTCCATGTCATCCCATAATTCCTCCACAGGGAGTCCACCCCATATCCTGGGGCAGGATTTCTTGACACTGCATAGACACCAGCAAGCATATAAGCCATCCAACATGTTACCAGACCACATCCTTACCTGGACATACATTTCTCTGATGTCATCCTATACACTGCTTTGAATGTTCAATTCCTCATTTGTAATGTTGCCATCTACTTAAACCTATAACCATTTCGTTGTCCTTTGGATAATTCTCAACCACATTAGACAAGGTGAGTAAATTCAAATTCAAAGCTCTACAAAAAGTGCAGTAGAAAAATAGAAAAACCATATTATGTTAAAGGGAAAAGCTTGAGGACTCAAGGAAAAAGACTTTCTAGGAGCTATAAGTTACCTTTGCCACATGTACTGTAAGTTTTAGCTCACTTTCCATTGGACTCTGGTATTTGAGAAATAGTGTGTCTCCGACATTTCTTTTCGGGGGGGTAGGGGAAGTGTGATTTGTACCAACAGTTGTTACTATATTACCTTAATACATTAATAAATTACCCTTCTAAAAGTCTGGCTAATTGTTATCAACTGATAATTGTGGGTAGGAACACACTGGTAGGGGCTCATAAGTTACGGTGTTAGAAAGAGCTCCCAGAAAGAGCTAAAGATTAGAGGAAACATAATAGCTGCCCTCTAGGGACCCAGATTGCCAGTGCAAGTAGGGATTGGGAGAGTGGCTCCAGAACCTGTGCTTAGCCTCCATTTAAAAAAAAAAAACTTTTCCTGGATTAGAGTCAGATAGACAGAAATTTAGGTAACATAGTGTTGTAAAAGAAAAAAAAAACAACAACCCCTTAGTTTCTTTAAAAATACTATATGCAATAATCCAAGATAGTTGACATCTCTCCTACTATCCCCCTACCCCCAACTTCTTGGGGGCCTTCTATGATCATGTCTGAATCTACAAGATAATATTTTCAGCAAGATCCCAGAAGCACAGGATTTTGTTTGTTTTTCTGCATAGACTTCAGTTTTCCTCTTTTGCCTTTTATGTAAGGGGACACTTTTATAACGTGCAAATATTTCCTGTCAGCCCTTCTAATGAACTGTGACAATTAAGTTGAGAAGGGGAAATGCATGCGATGTGAAAAGTTGGCTTCCTTTCTCTGTAGCTAAGGGCTAACACAACCATAAATTAGTAAAGTATAGTGTTACATTGTGTAATCACTAATTATCATAATTAAATATTTGCAAAGATCTAAAATTAGCATCTGGGATTATATTTTTTTCTGAATTCAAATTTTAAATCCAAATTTTAAACTGATAATTAAGTTGAGAAGAGGAAATGCATGCGATGTGAAAAGTTGGCTTCCTTTCTCTGTAGCTAACAACTAACAGAATCATAAATTAGTATAGTGTTGTGTTGTATAATAATTAATTAATATAATTAAATATTTGTATAAATCTGAAATTAGAATCTGAGATTATACTTTTTCTGAGTTCAAATTTTAAACCCAGCATTGACTTACATTGTTGTTCCAGTTAACAATAGCATGAACAAGACAGATATTTTTATTCTGGCTAATTTGTTTCCTTTAATATAAAATGCTTTATTATTTCAAATTGTTGCTCTCAAATGAAAAGTCTCTGGGATGTTATGATTTGAGAAGGGCTATTTCTAATCAACTCCATTTTGGAGGAAAAGATTCCTAAGTTCTCTTAAATCCTTCAACTTTTCTAGAGGCTTGTTTTAAATTAAACTTCTTTTAAAAATTCCTTTGTTCATCCAGGACCCCCACATTTTTAAAGATAAGACCACCAGACCTATTGCTGACATCTGAAATGTTGTTATTGTTTTAATTCGCCTTTAGTTTTTCAGCAGGTTCACATGGTAATGCTTCACAGCTGGTAAAGGAGACAACTTTTGGAAGAGAAGGGGGAAAAAAAAACCAATGAGCAACATGGCCTAGCTCTGCAGCTGTATGTTATTACTTTATTCCCAATTCACAGGAAATGAACAATCATTTAGTACTGACAGGTACATACAGGAACTCACTATCTTCCTTTTCAACCTGAAAAATAAGGCACTACAGAAGTTAAGCATTAGACTCAAAGTATGCTTCGCATTTTTTGCCAAGGTTATGATGATATCTTCTGAAAGCTTTTGAAAATGCTCTGAGGAAATACTGCCAGCAAGCCTGAAAATCTGAGTGGAAAAAAAATATCATTCAGAGTCTTTTCTGTTGTTGACCATAGTAATTTACTGGTCCCATAAGGGTTGGGGAAGGTTAGACACCTCTAATGGTGATTGGGGTGTAATCCAAATTGTGTCCTTAATGGGTTATTAGACTGTAATACAAAAGCAATGTTGTACCAGTAAATGCCTCAACACATCAAAGTTGTAGGGATTGAAGAATCATGAAAAGAAAAGCAGTTGCAGAGCCTTTGGAAGGTGTTCCCCTACCCTCACCCCATCTGTCTTCTTGAAAAAGTTCAGTGGATTTGTCTCTCAGTTCAAAAACATTTCTGCTGGTTGCCATTTTTGATTAGATCAAATGGAAAATCAATAAGCATGAAGTTACATACTAATAATACCTCACAGACCTGAAACTAGACTTTTTTTTTTAACCTGGGGAAAAGAATAAAAGCATATGCTGATGTAAAAGGTGAAAGTGGAGGTTGTGAGACAGCTGGCACAATGTTTGAACCCTGAGGTTGGTAAATGACCACCTAGCAGCTACTAGCTAGCAGCTGAAGCCAGTGGAGATAGATAGAATGGATAGATGGATAGATAGATAAATCGATGATAAATAGGTGGATAGATGATTGATAGAGATAGAGATGATCAATAGGGATAGATAGATGATCAATATAGATAGATGGATAGATGGATGGATGGATGGATAAATAGATATATGATAGATGGATAGATAGATGGTTGATAGATGATTAATAGAGATGGAGATGATCAATAGAGAGATAGATGATCAATATAGGTACATGGATGGATGGATAGATAGAATGGATAGACAGATAGATGATTGATATAGATAACTGATAGAGATAGAGATGATCAATAGAGATAGATAATTGATATAGATGGATGGATGGATAGATAGATAGATAGATAGATAGATAGATAGATAGATAGATAGATAGATAGTTACATATGCTGGTCCTCTGATTCTAAATACAGCCTCCCATATCTCTTTGAAAAAGATCAAGTTTTCCACTCCTTTTTGAATGGCATTTCAGTTCAGCATGAGGTCCTGGAATCCCAAAACAAAACCATGTAGGGAACTATGAGACTGCACCATTTGCAAGTGCCCTAGGTATAGTGGGTTCCAGTTCCAACCTGCCTCCAGGTTGAACTGGAGTCTTTTGAAGTAGACCTTCATGGGGTGAACAGGAAGACGACAACCTTTTTATATTATAGTTGGCTTCCTTTCCTGAATTAGTGTTTATATTTTCCCAGTAGAAATCCCTAAATTGAAAATATAGAGGTGTCAGCTAGCACCACTTTGGTTGAGGTTGTGTCAACATTTCCTATAACCCTTGTTTTTCTAGGGTTTATAACTAGACCGTAAAAATTTGCTCAGCTCTGAAACTTGGCGTAATAAGTCTCAGCCTAGGAGTGAATTTTTGAGAATTGAAGGGAGGGTTAAGGTGGAGTTTTAGGGAGAGGGAGGAAAGGAGAATCATTTCAGCTGCTTTGAACTCCTGTCTGGACTCAAATGGAAATTACTTAGAGATGCAGTTTCATTGACTCTGACTCAAATGGAACTTCAATTAAAAAAACAAACAAACAAACAAACAAACAAAAAAGAAAACAACTCTGAACTCTTCCAGGGATTCTTCCAGTAATTTGGGCTAATTGCTCTTGTTAATTTTGGGAGAAAATGTTAATGATTGAGGTATTTAATTTAAACCCACTGACTGTACATCTGCAGATTCCAGTTGGTTTTTTTTCCCACAAAGCAGTTAGCTATGCATAATAATGGGATTTAGCAGACCTTCTGCACACACACACACACACACACACACACACACCCCTTTCAATGTGTGAAAATACCTCAACTGGCTTCAAAGGAATTTTCCGATAGTTAATAGTCCCTTGAGCATACATATTTATTAAATTTCACATCCCTTTATTCAATGCATCCTTATGCAATCCATGATTTAATATCTCATCATGCATTTACCAGATGAACTGAGCTAGGCAGCCCAGGCATCATTCCTATGAATAATATTGACTCTTTCGAAAACTCACTTCAGCAACATAGTAAGGCCTGAGGGAGAAACTGGTCATACAAGGTTGGCTACTTTGGGGCTCTTTCTCAAGTGCCTCTTCTTGAAATGGTGGAAGATTGATGTA